CAGGAGCCAAAGGGCCATGAGCAGGGCCACCCCGGCCAGGCTCACCAAGGCCCGAAGCCTCTGGGTGGGGCCGTGCCATGCGAAAAGAGGCTGTCTCCTCGGGCTCAACCACAGGCCCCATCCTCCCAGCTCAGGGTTCCCTAAGGACCAGACACTCACCGCCATTATTCATCCACAGCTCCCAGAATCTGTCACCCAAGAAACCCCAGGTTCTCAAATCACAGCAGCCACTGGGCAGAGGCGCCCTGAATCACAGCGGCACCCCGTGCTCGGCCCCACCTGGAAGCGCTCTCCTTTCATCTGCCTGAGATGAGGGAAACCAGGGTCCCTTCCCCCTCCTGCCCCGCCCTGCCCCCCGCCCTGGAGGTGAGCTTTGGCATCAACCACCCTTCTCACCTTGCCTCCCTCTAGTCCTCTGGCTGCAGGGGTCCTCCGGTTACAGGAGGGGCGCCAGGCCAGGGCCCAGCCTGTGCTGCCCACCCCTGCCAGCTCTGAGGAGGCCCGGAGACGACCTTCTGTGCAGGCACAGGAGGCAGGAGCAGGAGGGGGCCCTCTTGGCCTCCTGAGCCGAGGCAGCCTCCTCCCCAGAAGGGCACCCCAGAGTCACTGCCTGCCACCCAGGCTAGCGCCACCCCCTGCCACACTGGCATTTCTCACTTCCCTTGCTCACCTCTGCCCCGTTCCGCTGTGGGCTCCCAGACCCTGCAGCCACAGACCTGCTGTGCTCAGCTCTTTGCCAGGAGGCTGAGGTTTCTCCAGTTGATTCTTATTGGGCCACCCCACCCCACCCAACCCCACCCCTGCCTCCTCTAGGACACCTTATCCCAGAACCCAGATTCTCAGAAGAGGGGTCCGTCGGGGGTCCTAAGAGAGTCTGTCCACACGAGGCCCCAGCACATGCCCACAGTGGGCAGATGCCAGGCTGGGCTGGCCCCGGAGTGGACTATAGGCCACCACACCTTCTCTCCCCGCCCAAGGACGTGTGTCCGTAGAAGCCCCTGGCTGTGGGTGGGCCCTGGCTCCTGGCCAAGCAGAAGGAACGTGGGGTGGGAGGGCTGCCCTTGGGGGCTCCAGGTCTCTTCCTCCAGCCCCCACAGCCCAGGATGGGGGTGGGGAAGGGAGGGCTTTCCAGGCTGGAAGGAGAAGGCGTCGTTGTGTCTCTGACGGGGACGGGCAGGGGGCTGGCACCCGCTCCAGGAAAAGGAAGGCTGATGTCCAGAGTCCCTCTCCTCCCCGGCCTCCAGCCAGCCCGGGGGCCCTGACCTGGAGGTCCAGTTCCTTCCCCTTTTGCTCTGGTTCCTCTGAACTGGAGATGCAGCAAGCCAGCACGGCCAGACTTCCCCGAACTCCAGCCCTCACCCCACTCTTAGCTGAGGTGGTGCCTCTCAGCTTCCTTCACCCCAGCCGGATCCTTGCTTGGTCCTGGACGTGGTGCATGCGGCAAGGCTCCTCCCTCATGCTCAGCATCCTGGAGGCCTCAGGCTGCTCAGGTTCTTGGGGGCTGTGAACCGGGGGTTGTGTAAGGAAGAGCAATCAGGAACCGTTGCCCAGTCTGCCACCTCGTGCCATCCTGAGGGCCTCCCACTGCCCCACCATCCCTGTCCTGCTGCATGCTCGGGTCGCAGGGCTGCTGGCCTCCCCCAGCTCTTGTCCCCAGTGAGGACCAGACTGCCATCGGGGTGGAACCAGGGAGCTGGCAGCAGACCCACTGGGGGGGCAGAGGCAAGTCCAGGAGAGGGGGCCAGTTTGGCCCCTCTGGGGCTCCCCACCCCCTGCATAACCACCAAGCTGTGGTGGGGCCTTGTGCAATATCGAGGGAGGGGAGGGAGGGCTGTGGGTGCTGTCAGAAACCATGAGGCATGTGTGTGCAAAAGCTGGGCCTCTACCAGCCTGCCAGCTCCCGTTGGCAGCCACCGGGTCGCAGTCGTGGGAACCTGCTGGTGAGAAACGGGGCTCCGAGGTTTGGTGCAGAAATGGGTCAGAATGAGAGCCGCTCAGAAGAAGAGCAGGTGAGAGAGCGTGACTCAAAGAGAAAGCAGGGCCTCATCCTGCCGACTCCCCCCAGGCCTCGGAACTCGCCAGGCCGCGGGGCAGGCATCTGACTCCAGCTCCACTGCTCTCGAGCACCTCGGAATCAGGTGCACACTGTCACCCTCCCAGCTGAGCCCCAAACCAGCTCCGGGGCCAGCCCCTTGGTGGGCACCTATTGAAGAAGCGGCCACCAGCGGGGCATGCCCCCAACAGAGGGCCGGCCAGTAGCCTGTGGATTGCCACCCCCTCACAGACAACAGCAGCCAGGGCAGTGGCAGAGCACCCAGCCCGAGGGGCACCCCAGGGAGAGAAGGGCAGAGTCTAACTGCCGGCCCACTTGTCCCAAGGAAGGGCTGGCCTGAGCAGGGCAGAGTCCAGACCTGGGCCCAGAAGGCCCCCTGGTGGCCGAGCTCCAAGCCACCTGACTCCAAGGGAGTGAAGGCAGCAGAGAAGAGCCAACACACACTTTATGCTCAACAAG